GTCGCCAACCTGTCGAACTTCTGGTCGGGCCCTCGAGTATCCAGTGCCTCTGGAATCGGAAGGTCCTCCTCCTCAACTTCGACTTCTTCTTCTTCCGAACTGGTCACCAGGGCTGGTAATGGCGCAGGAGGTGGAGCTGGGGCTGCTTTGGCCTTCTTCGCTGGCGGTGCCTTAGACGGCGGCCCTTGTGGGGACCGTGGGCGCCTCACTGACGCCTTAGGAGGGGCAGCTGGCTCCGGAGGTCGCTCCTCCGTGGATTTGCTAGTAGGCTTGGCCTTAGCAGATCCCGAACCAGGCCCTTCGCCAGTCATCTCCTCCACCTTGATGAACTTCTTGTCGTGGCATTCACATGCCGGATGGCCTCCACCGCAAACTCGTCCAGCTTTGCGCAGAATGGCGCATGCATGGCGACCAGGGCACACTTCCTTCTCCAGGGGGCAAGACCTTGTCTGAAAAGCTCCACAAATGGGTGCCCCATTCTTCATGAATGCGCTCAGCACCTTCCCATTGAGAGATGCCGGCATCGCAGACAGGCCACCCTTGGATTGTGCCTCTTCTCGCTTGGCCGCGGCCTTGAGCTTGAGCGCCTCCGACAGCTGGAAGCGCGCCTGCATCTCAGCCTTCGTCAAAGGAGCTGCCCAAATGACCCTGGATTCCTGCTTCAGCACCTTGTCTACGTTCTGGCGCGCATACTCCAGGGCCTCAGCGTAGGTCTCCGTTGGGATGGTCTCCCATGACTCATGGGCAAGCAGCTTCTCCACAGCCAGCCGCACAATGTGTTTGGTCCTCAATGAGGACTCGTACCTAGCCGCACTGTAGTGCATAGGCATTGTCGCCTCCTTTGGGATCTGGGAACGATCTGCCCAGTCCCCCAATGAGCATAGCTCGAGAGGCGTCAGCTTCATCAGAGTGCCCACTGTAGGTGCTGCTCGCCGCCAGGAGTAGGAAGACAAATCCTCTGTATTCTGGACCAAGTGCTCAAAGACCTCACGATTGAGCTCGTTGACGAACTTCAATGTGTATGCGGTGCCCTCCGCATCAAAGCACAACCCTGGGGTTGCTTGCTTAGCCTTATCCAGACTGCTGTAGTCCCTGAATAGGGCCGAGCCCCAAGCCCATCCGTTGACGAATGTGGCCGGAATGCTGAAGGAGAACCCGCCCCTGTTGGCCTTCTGCTTCCCCTTCGTGCAGTAGCCATGAAAGGAGCTAGGGGTCACTTTGACTGGCCTGGCACGCATGATGTGCTGGTATCGCAGGACACCAAAGGTAACCAGCCAGCTGGACAGTAAGCCCCTCCAACGCGGGTCCCCTGCTTCATACAACGATTGAATCTTCTCTTCAAGCGCTGCAATCATTGGGGGCTCAACTGCAACAGCCTGTTCTGGGTTTGCCTGTTTGGGTGGATTCTTACGAGCTGGGACTGGTACATCACTGAAGTCCCATTGCAACCGACCATGTTTGGAGAACCACTTCAAGGAGTGAAAGGCTCGGTAAGGCCCCGACGTGCCATTCTGCAAGAAGCCATAGAGGTCCAATGCATCCGGTGGGAACAAGCGGTCCTTCTGCTCCATGTAGGCCCGCAACTCAGCCCAAGACTTCAGGGCGTTCACCACCGTCGCTCCTTCGGCCTCTGTGACCTTCCGCTTAGACAAAGTATCCAGAGCATCCTGACACTGAGCGTACCTCTCCGGGGTCAACTCCCCTTGAGGACGCATGACCTTGGCCTGAGAAAAGGCCTTCCTCAATGCCGCAGCTCGTAGCAGCACCGTCTCTGGTTGATCTGGGCCTGGCCGGACTCGAAGAGCTTGGACCATCTTGCTCTTCTTCATCATGGACGCCTTGGGCGCAGGCCATGTCGTTGGCCGATCTCTGGAACCCGAGCTCTCAGCCACGGCAGCCGCTTGAGGGATGAGGTCAGCTTCGGCAGTCTTGGATCGCGCTTGCAACCACGCATCTGCCACATGGTGTCCTCCATGTGCAACTGCGCTGTCATAGGATGCAAACGCATATGCGAAGTCAGTCTCATCATGTAGTCCCCATTGAGCTCGCCACTGTTCAACACGAGTGGATGCCACCCTCTCCATCGCCGTCTCTGCACAAGGTGGAGCCTCACCAGCAGCCTGCACCGCGTAGGCACCTGGGTGGTACGCCATGGCGACGCCTGACACCACCGCTGCCAAGGTTTGGAGCGTACGGGCTCGGCCTGAAACTGCAGACCAAACCTCAGTATCATCAGGTGACAAACAAACATCACTAGGCCGCAGCTGCTGCATATGGGTCTCGACGCAAGACGGGGTGACATCCTGGACACTGGGAGGGTGGACAGGTGCTGCACACGGAGGAGAAGCATCGCTCACAGAGCTCAGGTGTCGGCAGTCCACAAGCCTTGCAAGGTGGCAAGGGTTCCTCCCCAGCCTCCATGGCACCAAGCCAACCCCATAACGACCGGACTGCTCTGGCCCGTGGTGCTCTCCACGCAACCAGGTCAGCCGGGATGGGCACCAAGGATGGGTCCCTCCATCCACGCTGTGGGGATTGCCAGGTCCTCCACACATCCCAAAGTTCGGTGAGGTCGACCATGCTATCGGCATTGTGCTCGATGAAGGCGACCAAGCCAAAGATGTTGTCCGGCGCAAAGTCCCGAGCCGTCCAATGAGTCCGCAGCGGCTCGATGAGTAGCAAATCCAGCTTCGCCTCGCCCAGGCGATCATAGTAGGATTGCCACGCACGCCGCGGGTCACTCCCGGGCAGAGCCAAGATAGCTGAGCTGTTCCATGTGCCGATCCAAGGGAACTTGAATCCTCCCTGATACTCAGTACACCTCCTACAGTTTTCTTCCATACAAGGTGACCGTCTGAAAGGGGGAAGTCCCTGCACCCCCAACCCAATTGGATGTGGGGGGAAATTATCAATTTGGCACACGGACGCCCACAGTCGGGTGGCCTCTGCCACCAAGCCCCGCTGGAGTAGGCTCTCCACATGCGTCTTGAACTCGTAGTAGGCAGCCGCATGAAGCAGCTCCACATCCGTGTGGGCCGCCTCATTCCAACCGGGCCGAACGACGATGGAGGCCCTTGGCATCGAGGGGGTGACCTCCCACCTTCGTAACCTCTGTACTCTAGGGTAACGCCCTAGTAGAGGAACGAGAAACCACTGAACCTAGGGTAACTCCCTAGAAGTGGTGTGGGTACCCCAACAAAAGAAAGAACGATGAAGCCAGTTTGGCTCAGACTTGAGCCAAAATGGATTCATCAGCTTACATACTCACCCTAATGATAATGCACACCCAGTGCCTGCCAAACACGATGCATACATATATACATACGGTAGGAACTGAAATTCGTCGAGAGAGAGAGAGAGAGAGAATTAAGTACACTACAAGCAGGGCGTTGCTGGGATGCATTCCTTTCTGGCATGTGCTGGCTTTACCTTTGAGACAGCCAAAGCATCAATTTGCAGCCAGGGATCGATGGAGCCAGCTTCTCCGGCAGAGAAGCACCTTGCTGTCATGCGATCTATGCTTTTCAAAAGCCCGTGAACACATCAAAGCATCCTAGCTCTGCATTATGCTAGAATCCTTCTTGTCCATCAGTCTTGCATCACCAAACACGCTACTTCTCCCTGCTTCTCCAGGTTCACAGTCACAGGCTGCATTGCTGATAGTTGGCCAAAGCACTGCGCATCAAATGAAGATACTGTTGGTTCACTGGCTGTTGCCAGTGGTGCTAAGCCACTAAGCCAGAGAAAAATGTACCTCACTGCGAATCCGAAATGAGGTGAAGGTCGAAAGGATGCATCATGAACGGGGACCATGATGTTACACTGCCCAGCCTGGCCACGGCACCAAGAGTCATCCATGAATCTTGTGGGTGAAACAAAGCTTTTGCGCAGAAAACAAGGTGATCACTGCTAAGTCAGCTAGTCAGCTAGTCGTGTCTACGATCATGGGTTTTTTTTGCCATCCATGCCATCCTTTGGTCTTCGAAGACCTGACAAAAACCCAAATGCCATGCTTGAGCCCGTCTGAGCTGTTCGGAAGGCGAGTCTTCAAGCTTGGCTTTGCCACGGAGTCAAAAATTAGGGAGATCGTGCACATATGAGTATCTCACACAGTTGCATACTCAAAACATCTCAAAACTATACAACGGTGACATATGTGTACATAACATACAGTGACTAACTCTGATTTGTGCTTATGTTGTGAACAGCGATTACATGCATATTATGTATATATAATTATATATATATTTATATTTAATTTAATTTATTTATACGATTTATATGTGTGTGTGTGTGTGTACACAATCATACGAAAGTAGTCTGGTTGGTCACTACCGGGATTTCAGGAGTGAAAATCTGGCAGCACTGCTCAGGCGAACGCGATCGGCCCCAACCTGATCCGAGAGCGAAGAAGTAAACTTCCTTGAGGGTCGGCACAAAAAACCGATGAACCTCGGCGAAAAGAGCTGGTCAGATTGGTTGGGTTCGCCAAGATCGGGAAGATCCTTGTAGGAATAGCCTCTGGCAATGAAACATAGCCGAGACATCCACAAACTAAATGGATGTATTAAATTTGTAAGAGGAAAATCATCTCGTTATGAAAAATTGTGAGCAATTGGACCCACACTATACGAAACATGACGAACACACCAAGACTGCACTCAGCTTCAGGCGGTTGAGTCGGATAGTCCTGGACCTGCAGACTGACTCCATCAATTTCAACAAAGCCACAGCAAGCGCTGTCAAAATGTTGCTCTGTGCTCCAAACCCATTTGTATGTTTGGTTCAGCGGCAGCCAACACCTCAGCAACTCACAACTTTTCATGTGAAGCATCTTCAGATCACCTCATTGGATCAATCTTAGACTGGAACAATCTCACCCCATGATATACACCTTAAAAAACCCTCCAGTAAACTAACATAGCTATGGAAAATGGCCAATCATAAATGATTTACTTTTAAAAGATAGGCTTTTCCATAGCTGTGTTAGTTCACCGAAGTTAGTTCACCAAGGTTATAATGTTATATATATATATATTATATATATATATATACGTATGTATATATAATATTATATAATACAATCTCATCCTTAAAAAATGCCCCTGGGGCCAAAAGCCGCGTGCTCGTGTTGTAGGTCCCAGGGCATATCCTCGGAGCAGCAACTGACCGACCTGGTTTTGGTGCTTCAACCTGAGACGCCGGCCCGACGCAAACAGGGTTGGCCATGTCCAACCTGAAGGCTGAGGGAAGAACGGGGCTGGTGAAAAAATGGGGGGGATATCAACATGTTTCTACATGTTAATATGATATTCATATGATATTCATATGATATTCATATGATATTCATATGATATTCATATGATATGCAGATATGCATTGATAGGTTAAATATCCATCCATTCTCCATCCATATCCCCAAACAAAATACCATTTAGACATATCGAAACAGGACCCAAACATTGTTGGAACATGTTGGAACTGTGCTGTTCTTGTCTCAAACACAAAGGTTTTGCGTCTGGGTTGGAGTCTCAGCAAGATTTTCTGGCCTCTTGTCATTTCCTTGAAAAACCCACTGGCTGCTCTCTTGCATGCAGAAGTAGAGAAACGGCTTGTCCTGCCATCGGGTGTTGATCCAGCTCAGTCTGGTCTGGAGACACCCTAGCCATGTGAAACAGCGAAAGGGGAACATGGAACAAGTGTCTCGCCGTACGGCACTTGCCAATCAAATATACCTGTGCCCGTGCGTGTGAAATCGAAACAAATGGTGCAAAGTTTATTGACTTTTCCTCTTTTGAACTGGCCCCAACTGAGTCAGACTCCGTATGATTCCGTATGTATCACTTCTGACCACTCCGGCCCTCATTGTCTAGGTGCCAGGCCCGATTGATCCCACGACCACAGAGATGTCCATTGAGATCAGGGAGGCGCCTTTGCTGCAGATCCAACAGGGGGGGGATTGGGTGAAGTGCATGCTATCGCTTCATTATGCACCATGGCTGAGCTTCAAACAAACATTGGGCTATCTGTTCCGTACTCTCTCTCTCTCTCTCCCCATCGATTCCGTACGTTTCTCATAATTCTATAACTAGATCTGTATATATATATATATAATAAATATATAGTTGTTTATTTATTTATCTATGTAATTATACATTTATTGATATAGTTATATATGTTTTGTATTTATGTGTGTGCGTGTGTGCGTCTGGCTTCATGTGTGTCTGTGCGTGCAAGTTTTGCATGAGAGTTGACAGAAGTTTCTGCCCTGGGCGCCGGGCACAAGGTTGCTAAGGTCCCCCTTTTGGAGGGCCTGAATCTAGGAACAAAAAGGTGGTTTCACAAGGGCGTTAAACACTACCTTACTGAACATCTGAATATGAAATCCGCCCCTACTGAAGGTGTCGGAGCGTGGTAGTTTAATGTGGAGCGATGCATTGCCTCTCGCATGATGCTACAGCTTCAGCTTAGGCGGGAAATACCCAAAATCTTCATTCTGAGAGCAAATCAAAATAAACACTAAACGCCTAAGCTCTGAAATTCTGACATTTTGACTCCATTGAGTGTTCCAATGTAAATTCAATCTTATCAGAAAAAAGAAACCATAGCAAGAATTATAAGAAATCATCAGGCATGTACCATCAGAACAGTTTTGTACCATAAAAACATACAACTGCAACATAAGAATTACTGTACATCTAAAACTTTATCAAACCCCTCTGGTGAAACCTCATTCTGTTCTTAAATGATCTTAAATGTATATAGATAGTAAGGCAAAGAAGTAATCAAAACAAGTCAAGATGCATGCAAAAATTCTAAAAAGACCGCATCAGGGTTCGGTGCTCGTCGCGGAGTGACTCGAATACAGTACTACAACATACTACAACATATCACACGACGTGGTCCACCGTGCGTTGAGGACTTGCAAGGCCACCGGGCGTCCATCAGATCAGCACCGTTCATTCTTGAATCTCTCGTGACATCTCGTGACATATGATTCATCTTCATTTCTACACCCAGGAGCTTGCAGACAAAATCTGCTGCCATTGGAACGCGAAGCTTGACCGCTGAGGTCCCGGCATCACTGCAAACAAAAATAAAAAGCCCCAGGCAGATGACGAAGGGGATGATCCAACACGCATCTGTACACCTGGCGTTCTTATCCCTTACCATAACGCTCCACATATCTTGCGTCCTTGAGATGGATCATGATGGATCTGGGTTGTCGGCCCCTGATTTCAATCCTTTTTCAACGCTTGAGACTGGCCAAATTTATCCAAATTTCCTATAAAATATCAGTGGCTTTCTGATCTTCTCCGCCTTGGGCGGTTGGATCATTTTTGGTTTTTGGATGTTTTTGGATCGTGGCATAGGCATTGCAGTTTTGCAGAGCCAGAGTTTTCTCGTAAATTTGACCACGCGAGAAATTCGGACATCACAAGAATCACTTGACAAAAGCATGCTGAAACCATCTCAAAAGTTTGGTTACAGTATCCCGTGGAAAGGAGTTCTTCAATGACCCATGGATGCGCATCCTCTGTTGCAACGCAGGACGAATTCCGCTGCTCAGGTGGACGTGCTAGAGCCGTGCCACGGTGGTGATGAAAGTGGTGACCTTAGGCGGTGGTTTTCACATCAGGTGGTGTAAATCCAATAAGATAACCCCAGGATCTGCGAAGAAACAACGGCAGGTGGCTAGAACAATATATACAAGGCAAAAGCAATCAAGGGCAACAAGGCTACATACATGCGTACGGTTTTGTGTGTCTGCATGCCTATCATGATTATATTATATATATATAGTTAATTAATTAACTATATAATATATGTATGTGTGTGTGTTTGTGTGTGTATGTATGTATGTATGTATGTATGTATGTATGTATGTATGTATGTATGTATGTATGTATGTATGTATGTATGTATGTATGTATGTATGTATGTATGTATGTATGTATGTATGTATGTATGTATGTATGTATGTATGTATGTATGTTATGTATGTGTGTGTATGTATGTATGTATGTATGTGCAGTATGTATGTATGTATGTATGTATGTATGTATGCATGCATGTATATGTATGTATATGTATGTATAGTATGTATATGTATGTGTATGAATGTATGTGTATGTGTATGTATATGTGTGTATGTATGTATGTATGTATGTATGTATGTATGTATGTATGTATGTATGTATGTATGTATGTATGTATGTATGTATGTATGTATGTATGTATGTATGTATGTATGTATGTATGTATGTATGTATGTATGTATGTATGTATGTATGTGAAAAAATACAGACCCCCAGATTGATACGTCTTCTGGACGATGTCTGTGTATTTGTCTGTGTCACCTGCTTGAAGGTGCCAAGACACATCGTTGGCCCTCAATGCGACGATCTGACTGGCCATCACCTGGATTTTGCAATGCCGGGCATCCAGGATGCATCAACCATCTTCTCCATACGGTAGAACAACAACGGACTGTCCATGGGTGTTAAGGGATGCAAACATTCATATGATTTCATATGGGCGTGTCTAGAATATGTTACTTCCCCAAAAATCATAACTGTCAGTGGCCAAATCTGGGCGCCATCCACCGCAACAGGTGCACCGGGACCCACGGTCCGCCTCCACCAAAACTGTTGGCCCCAACTCCGCCCGCGGAAAGGCGTGGCTGACGAAGGCTTTGGCATCATCCCTCGGTGGCGGCCTGCGGGCGACACATCTGCAATCTATCACATTCTATAATATACATTAATGTACAATAATTATGAATGATAATTCAATAAACATCAATAAACTGTGATAGTTCTGAAAGTTCAATAAATTTCAACCATACAATCCATCATCATAATGCCATGATAGTCATAGGGGGACCATTCTTTCCATGGCTACATCATCTGGTCCAGATTATGATTATGCCCCCACAATAATGAGGAAAATAGTCTCACAGTATCACCAGATCTCATGGAGACAGCGTTGTCCTTTACACTTGATGGTAGCTTTCTTTTTCCATCATCATTGGGGATCTCCAAATTGTTGTGATAATGAGACTTGCAGTATTACTGTGGTGATGTCATCTACCGGGGACATCTTCATGGAATTATCGCGATATATGTAGTATAAAATATATATGTGTGTGTGTGCATATGTATATATATATAATATTTATATAAGGACTTGGTGCCCTTTTTGGTGGAAAATGGCATATCCTGGTTGATCCTCATTCGCAGTTCTAGTTCTTTCTACTTGTTTGCTTTGTTGCTGGAGTCTGATGACATGTTGGATGGCGAGCGCCATCCACCGGCTCTCCCAAGGCCTGCGTAGTGTCTCACCTCCCTCACCTTTGCTGGTCTTCACCGCATTTCTCCACAGCACTTGTGCCAGTGGCGCTATATCCTCTAGCCTGCCAGGAAACTGCTGTGGTTCAAATCCACAAGCGGCCAATAAATAAGGTCAAGAACGAGCACATGGTCAAAAAAAATGTGTACAGTATCTTACAGTGTTTGCATCTCCGCCACCTACATTTTGTTGTTTGCACTTCAGAACCATGACCACAATATCCAAAATGAAATGGTTTGCTCAGCTTGCTCGCCTGTCATCGGGTGCATGCTCCAACGGCCTGGAGCGTGGCTTCAGGGCAAAAACGGACGTCTCTTATACTCGTGTGAACGTGTGTGAACCATTTCCATCGATCTTCCCTTGGTCTGCCACGGTCTCCCAGAATGGCACCAGAGCACCATAGAGTGGCTATAAGTAGCTAGGATCTTCTTAGTGACTCGGGGTATCTCAGGGTTGGAGTGGCTCTCTAAATGCTGTATGCCCCACAGCAGCTGTCAGGGCCCCGGCATATCGTTCTCATCTTCAGCAACAGCAATGTAGCGCAGCCAGAAGCACAGCAACAGAACCAACGGCTTGACTGAAGCTGTATCCATCTTTGGGAAGGCTGGAAGGCAACTCATACCTCAGACCCACTCATCAACTTTCGAACGCGATCCATGGTGAATGTGCTTAATTAATTAAGTTATACATATATATACATACACATCCGTGTGCTTCATGTCGGCCAAGTTTGCAATTTTTGTGTTTGCGCATGACCTGGCTCTATCTGGAAGCCTTGTGGCCTCGGAACTTTCGGCCAACTGGTTGTGATTTTACATGATTTTACCAGCAACCATATCCCAGCCGCAGCCGAGATGCAGCAGGTCTCAATCTGCTGGGTGCCATTCAGGGCCAAGGCGTAGAGCTCCTGGTCACTGCCTTGGAGTCTCTCGTAGACCTCCTCCTGGCAGGCTGGAGACTTGGAGAGGGCGTACTAGGAAAAAAACACGGGGATCTCATGCCATGTAAGGACGGAAAGCCACACATTATATGTGTGTCTATGGGAGTGCGGGGGTGTTTAGGGGTCGGGGTTGTAGGTGCAAACCAGTGACTCTGTGCTGTTGAAAAAAATGAAAAAGCAACAGCGTACCAAATGGAAAGGGAAATAGAAAAATCTAGGACTCTTAACGATACCATCCCGATATCAGTGTGCTCCAACACAAACTCTCCTTGTAGCTCTCCAAATCAAATCCTTCAGGGGCTGTGACGGCATGTTCCAGAACCACCTTAGGCAGGCAGCACATGGCACCAGGCCCTAATCGACTGTTGCTGTAGATTGTAGATTGGTGTTGTGCCAGGGCATGCCATGTGCGGACTATTCTCTCATGTTCCCTCCCCTTTACCATCTCTCATCCCTCTTTCTGCTTCTTTCTGTGCACACGTTGTCACATTGAAAATGCTTTAGAACTTTCAGAAGCCCCACTTTCAGCATGGGACTTCCCCTAGACATGGTGACAGATAGTGACAGCATGTGACAGCCGAGTCACAGCAAGATATTTGCCCAAGAAGTCACTCACAATGTGATCGGCTACTGCATCTTTGACACGACGAAAGCCGCGTAAAAGACCCAAATAACAAATCGCTTGCCCGGCACCTGGGAATGCAAGAGCGCATTCCAGGCCCGTTTAGAAAGACTCTAAGGCCTCACCTATCAGGCCTCTATCAGTCTATCGATAGTCTACCGAGCCCACCGTTCTCTTCCACTTCACAAGCTTTTAGCATCTTAGAGCTATTTAGAGCTGCTAGTGGGGTTTACTGAAAGCAGAGTTGTCCACCAAGTCCTGCACACCAGCATCAAGCGGAAAGCTCTGGGCATCACTAGGTAAATGCTGTTTTGATCTTTTTTGAATGCGACTAGATCCACCAGCCAAAGGTGTCCATGACTGCATGTGAGCTCATCTAAAAAATGAAGGCCACTCTTCGAGCTAATTTTGGCAGATGTGGACACAAATTGGTAGGGTATAACAGTCTGACCAATACAATTGATGCATTTTGACGCTCCATTCCAATGTTTGCACGTGCCAACACCTAAGGAAGAGCAACGTGAGTTGTTGATGAATGTTGGCCAGCTACCATGGAAGACTTTTGATTGCATCTCGGAGAAGGGTACAGCATCTTGAACGAAGAGGCAGCCGCCATTCAAGACAGCATCCCAGTGGGGCCGTCCAGACGGAAATTTGTCCTGTCAAAATTTAGGATGAGAGTTCCTCTTTATAAGGTGCAAATAAGTTGACACATCTTATATGAGCGAGGCGTGACTGAAGCACATCACCGTCCTCGACAACCCAACGTACGAAGTCCTCACATATCACAGGACATCGGTCAGCAACTCCAGAAATCTTCTGAGTTTCCTGGCTATGGCAGACCCAAAAGAAGAACAGCCTTGTCTATCATGTTCTATCATAGGCTGCGAATGCTCTACGACCTCCATGCCAGTGTCATCTGCAAGACATCATTACATTTTTGACACGAAATCTAGGATAATATCCATGGATTTCATATGATTTCATAGATCTACCGGAATCTACCGCACATATCCGGAGATTTTCACCGAGCACACAAAGGAGCAGGCCTCAAGAAGATCCGGAGTCACGTGGTACACCACACGTTCGCCTGCTCAGCAAACCATCGACTAATGAGATCATCGGCGCCGCCAAGCTCACTGGGAACAATGACCGTGATCAACAAAAATATGTGGCATATTGTGGCATGATTCCTTATCTTATATAAATATGTTTACTGTATACATGTATTATATATATATATGATTGTATATGCATGCATGCATGCATGCATGCATGCATGCATGCATGCATGCATGGATGGATGGATGGATGGATGTAGGTAGGCAGGTAGGTAGGCATGTATATGTATATATGTATATCTGTATGTCTGTCTCTCTCTCTCTCTCTTTTTCTCTCTTCATCGCCTACAAACCAGATATATTTGTGATAATCTGTGTAATTATTGACTTAATTTATCTTAATTTAAATCGGTTTCGGTTTTACTTTATTTCTACCATGCAGGAGCTACCACGGCAACAGGCAGCTATAGTGCATCTTTCCAGCATGCAGCTGAATGCTGGCCCAGCCACACACCATCTTGGGGAAGCGCCACTTGGCTTGGATGTACCTGAGATAAGTCTTCAGCAACACCAAGTGTGACGCCCGGGACGGCGTGAATCGCAGGAGGGTTTGACCGTATCCCAGTTCATCTCTCAGAGAGAGAAAATATTCTATAGGCATTTGTTAACATCTACCATCAATATAATTTATATAATATATATATATATAACTTATTAATAAATGTATATATATAAGAACTGCGACATACACTTGCGCGAAACACGTTGAAAAGCAACATGCACTTTGACACGTCTCGTATTGCAGATTTAACCAACAGCAAACCAATCGCCCAGCAATGGCGATGCAGTGGTTGTCAATGGTGGAGATTGAGACATACATACCATATTTCATGAATCGAACGATACCCACATTAGTGCATGCGTTCCAACCTTAGTGCTGGAACTGCGTCAATGATGTATGAAGACACCCTGTCGTGGAAGACAGTCTCGGAAGCATTGTGTCATTGCGACGACATCTTGCGTTTGTGATGTAACTTTCTGTGACTTGATGATCTTGATGGGGCACTGGTTTCTTCAATGTGACAAATCGTCGCATCCCGATTTGGCACTATGTTGGTAATGACGTGCTCGTGGGACTTTCGATTTAGTCAGTCACATTTCATTGTCTGATCGAAAATAAATGCCTTGCCTACAGTAACTTCTGATCTGTACGTTACGGATACATGTGTTCTACTATATGTTACATATTAGGCCTTCCACTATGTTGAGATGTTACTGTATAACTTGATGCCCCTGGGTTTGCGAACCCAGGGACGTGCTTGATGACCCTCTGCGGGGAATCTGCTGTCCGGCAATCCTGGTTTTCAGCACTTTCTTTCATAAACCCTAAAAAGAACTTAGAAAAACCGTAGGAAAAACCCTTATATAGTTAACCCAACAGAAACCCTAAATGAACCCTAAAGCAACTCTAAAAGAACCCTAAAGAAACCCTGACAAAAACCGTATGAAAGTGCTTATACTGAAGTACCTGTGGGGCGTAGCGCACGTTCTGCGGGCACTAATAGAGCACTCCAAAATGTTATGGGTGATCATCATCAAAATAGTATATATTACATATATGATTATCAAAGAATAGAAAATAATATTTTTAAAAAGTATAATGAATATAAAAGTGCCGTGTGGGAATGTTTTAGATAATGTATCCTCCACTTGGAGGATCAGCCCACTTAGACACTTCGTAAGTGCTCAACAACCCTGGTCAAGTGACTCCCTTAAGTTGGTTAGCCCATCAAAAAAGTGTGCCTATTTCAGTATGGTTAGTAAGCACACTAACTGATATATAATGATATATATATATATTATATATATTATATATATATTATATATATATATATGTATGTATATTATATAGTGACTATATATATATATATTATGTATGGAGGTTTCCTAAAATGCTACCCCCAAAACCATCCATATAACCCCATTTAAAAGGAAAGCCCCCATCCGTGGGATGATTTTTCGAAGGTGTGCGATGGCATCTGGTTGAATCCGATTCCCATCATTCTGGTTGATACCCCACATTGAGGATTGAGGATAGTGGCTTATCACGTGAATAATATATTATACAGTGTGTATATATATGTGTGTGTGTATGTATATATGTATATGTATATATATATGTATATGTATATATATATATATATATCGTACTAATAATGTTTAATAACATTTAATAACTTCCTTAATCATCCTTAATCACCATTACCATCTCTATTAACAAACAAAAAACCCCAAAAAAAAACAATCATCAATGAACTATAGTTAATATCAACATATATTCACCATTATTAACCACTATTAAATGAGAATTACATATCATCGTTGTGTCATTATGTGTCAGGCCACTCCGCAAGGTCATCGCCAAAGCTTTTCCGGGCCATCGCCACTGCTGCTGCCACAGGACCATCACCAAGCCTTGGCCGAGAAATTTCACGCTTGAGAGTGGTTGATCATCACTTTTTCCTGTGAGAAATGGACAACTTGGCATGATTTGGCATGTAATAACCACATGTTCAGATATGTTTGGGTAATTGTGTGTTAACCATCCCTGGCTCCTTAGCTCCCCTAATTGGCCCTAATGACGCCTAATATTGCAGACAAGATACTTGACCCCTTGCAAAATGGCAATTGAAAAATCTGAACCGCGACTATGAGCCATGTAGATCTGTCCATAATCAGGACTCAACCGGAGCCTGCGGAACTCCACCATCGTCTTTTTCTCATGCGCGTTCTGGAGCACCAACGGTCACATCTGGCCTCACATTGTTTGGAATTTTATGACTCAGGGGATCTTAGGGGATTAGGCAGAGCCTTTCTTTGCCCCCATGTTTTTTCGGAACCTCCTGGAGGCTCTTGTACCACTTGCCTTGCCAAAAGGCAGGGTGCGACCAGCGGGGTTCCATACAACAGCAAGCCTGCGTCGAATAGTCGTCGATTTTCTGACGAACTTCCCGCTCCTCTTTAACTCCAACTCTACACAAAGGAAGCATGAACTCAGACTTCTTGGGACATTCCAATGGGCCATCCACTCCATCTTTACATGTCTCCATCAAGCGAAGCAGCCAGTCGGAGGGATCAAAGTTCTTGGTGTTGTGCATTGAGAGGAACAGCACTGGCACCCCTTGAGGGTACCACTTTGGATCAAAGAACAGCTTCTTGTCGAGGCTTTTCTGCAAGAGAAAGAGGTTGGGTTCAAGGTCGAACTTGCACCATGATTTACTGACTTTGTGGCGCCACAAGTTTACGTTCATCATGTCTTCATCTTCCCACATTGCATTGCTCATTTCCACATGTCTCTTGACCTTGGGACCTTGTCGCACGAGCTCCAACAATCCCAGTGACCCATTGCGTACCATCTCCAGGTCATGAATTAACGTGGAGGTCTTCCGCCCAGTGGCGGCGAGCATTCGTTCATGCATCAGATCACCAAACCACACCAAAGCCCAGAAGGACCAGGTGGGATGGGCGTGATTCCATCGCATGGTTTGAGGACCATCCCAACCTTTAAAGGCGTAGTGGGCATAAGGATTTCCCGGTGTTTCATCGCGAGACATCCAATGCACTGGCAGAATGGGCCAAGGATATCGCTCCTGGCTTTCACGCCGCGTACCCTCAAAAACTTCATCCATTCCTTTGAAAATCATTTGGTCAGTGTCCAATTGGATGCCCACCAGAGTTCGAGCCGCGAGAATTGATCGGACCTTGTTGAAGTTGAAGGAGACCCCGCGGGAAATATGCCTCATTCGATAAACAATGACATTTCGCATGGACTGCCAAGAGAGCGGCGGTACAAACTCAGTGCCGAAAACCACCACGATCAAAGGGCGAGTTGAAAATAGATCGATGGAACGAATCAAATTTGTTGCCTGCCATTCGTAGGTGCCATCTTTGGAGCCCCCAACATAAGTGACATAAGCTTCCTCTACCCAGGGTGATGCGGAGCTAGTCCACCGAAGGAATTGACTTGAGAAGTCGCACTCCAACCAAACTTCCAGTTCAGGCTGCAGCTGCTTGTCTTCGCAGAGCTTCGTAGTAGCTGCTTCCAACAGTTCTTCAGCCTCTGAATGCTGATGGCCCTTTCGAGGCTTCAAAGAAGACCCGTGCTGACAAGACCAAATCAAGGTATTTGGACGCCGTTTCTCACAAAGCTTCGAATACTGTGCGGGGAAAGCGGACTTTTGCATTCTGCTTAAGCAACCTGCCCGGCAGGGCTTGTCGACACCGTCTGGACAGTTTTGAGGATGATATGGGAGGCCATCAGGGCATTTCAGACCTCCAGCTTTACACTGGCAGTATTTGGTCTTTCCTGGCGAAATGTCTGTTTCAGGTGTGAGCCCATACTGAGCATGGACACAGAGTATTGGAGATTTGGGCTCCGACCGCTCCGCCCACTGGTTTTTGTCAAAGTCTCCATATCGAGTCAAACCACTGTCACAATGGCACACTTCCCCTTCCTGCACACAGAACATCCAGCCATCTGGCCGAAGCTTTTGTAGCTGTCTGGTGATCGTCAGGGAATCCCGGCCATTGGACAAGGACTTCCGAAGCATATTCAATGCCTCCACCTCTTGGAAGGTTGCAATTCCATTGATCCATGCGACCAGCTCGTTTCTGAGGGACAACACTTTGGGTGCCAACAATCGGCTGGAAGCACCTCCAGAGAGGGCTGGATCCTGTGGAGCTTCAAAATCCTTTTCAGAATCAACGCCATCAGGATCAGGGCCTTCAGGGCCTTCAGGGCCTTCTGGGCCTTCTGGACCTTCCGGGCTCTGCTCCAGCTCAGGAGCAATGTTTGGTGCCAATGGAGGGCTCAAAGGATTCAGGATATAGCAGGCAGTGAGAAAAATCACCACCACAATCCGAAAGGTGGCCTCCAACGCGTCTCACATCGCGAAAGGCTCAGTAAAGTGCAGCTATAGAAGCTCGAGCCCAACACAAGTCATTGCAAACCGATTCGTTGCACAGATCATGCTTTCGTTCTCAGATTGATTCTCTTCAAGACCATGCTACGTCCCAGTGACACGCTCATGATGTAAAGTCAAAGAGTTTTATTTTTCTGTGGAACTCTTCCACAAAAACTACATTGAGGCAAGCAATCAAAAATGTGCCAGTGCCAAATAATGCCCCAAGATGCCCCAAGTCACTGAGTCACCCAATCGAAATCCTCAAGTCCAACATAACATCCCCCACCTTCCAGCCTTCAGCCCCCCATCCCCAATAGGCTTTGCTTGCAATTAGGCTACCCCATTCCATCCCTGGTTTCGAAAATCATTATTTCCGCCAGTACAGTACTCAGTACTTAAAAAGCGGTAGAATATGGGGTAGTATCCGGTATCCCAGCATTACAACCCACAAAATCAAACTCCAATAATAAGTAATAATATCCCCATTGCAAAGTTGCAATAAAAAATGATGAAAATCCAAGTTCCAAGTAAAATCCTCCAAAATCACCATAAATACGGTGTAAATCGTGCATTGTCATGCTACACCCACCACATCTCACATGTTCCCATTAAAAAATGCGCCATCATACCTGGGAAAATCATGGAACATCTTCATAAATCCTCCAAAATCTCCCGAAAAAAACGAAAATCTGGGGCCAAACCGAGCCAAGGCACACCGCCAAGGGCACCTCATGTTCCATCCTTCGGATGATGGCCGTGGCCGCCAGGTACCCGCCCACCGTGCGGAAGGGCCGTTCCGAGAGCTCCTCGAGGTGGTGGCCTCAGCATTTTACGGTAAAAGACCGTATGGCAAGCATTCGGAGAGGTTCGGGTGTCACTTTTGCTGTGAGTTGATGGTTTGATTGGGATTTTTGATGGAAGGCTTATGGAAATTTATGGAACAGATTGGGGAAGCGACATATGATCCCAGATCGCCGCTGATCCGGCTACAGTCCACCAATCAGGCCCAAAGAGGATAGCTGTGTGTTTGTTCGGCCGGAAACAGGATTTCTACAGTCACATAAGCGCTCACATGAAACCATGGCCTGACGCCAACCATCCAGGTCCCATGCTAAAGTGAATTGATGTGAAATGCATCTCTGCTTACTCTGTTTTGTACAAATTATATTATATGATACCAGTAGTACCAGTAGTAGTCCAAACATGTCTAGAACAGCTAATCATCTGCAGCCAGAAAGCATTCCAGCGCCTGTAAGTCTGCCTGCACATCTTCAGATGCTTCATCAAGTTCCTGGTTCTCATCCAAATGAAGTTCCTCCGGGCTGACCATAATGCTAAGGATCTTAGTGCTGGCGGCGCATAACCTCGGTTGAAAAATCTCAGGAGCCATGGGGGGCCATGGCGGCCATGGCTGGGTCGCTTCCCTGTGGGTCGCTCAGGATGTGTCTCAATACAGAAGTGTTGATCACTTGTACAGTACTCATCTGTTCTATTCTATTCTACTCAATTCTAGTCATCAATAAAATAAGTTCCCAAATGCTCCCAGACGTTGTTCCATGATGACTTCCTTCAGGTTGAACCAGTTCCAAGGCACCGATGAAGGATCTTGCGATGATCATCGGGTGCAAAGAGATGCTCACAATAGGCACCAATGATTTGCGTCTGACACTCCTGCAATTGGACTTGGTACTTGGTCCCAAATGGGTTATATCAGTTATATCCTCCATTTGTGGCCATGTTTGTTGCGAAAAAATCATACAAACCAGTCAAAAACCACAGGATTTTGGAGCGTTTCCCTAAATGTTCAGACAAACTTATGTAAAAATGATCCAAAATTGACAAATCATCTTACAGTAATGGGACAAATGAAAATGATGCCAGTCAGTCACTTGGAGTTGTGGGCGTAATATTTTATGACAAACACATGTGTGTGTGTGTGCGTGTGTCGTTCCAGCGTGTGGATGGTCACCACCAAAAAGAAAACGAGTTCTAGTGACCCACATGCATGTGGTCCGGGACAATTCCGAAGCTAGAATAAGATTGATAACTTGAGCACAAAAATGTGTGTATGTGTAATAACCTGGCCGGAAATGCCACGCCTGACCACTTCGAACTGTCAGGGTGTACATGCCATCCTGCTTTCTCATCCTGATCAATGGAGCACTGTCGCAAGCTCTCCATAATGACATGACATAACTATGTAAGTGATTTGCCAGCACAACTATGGTTTACATGAGCTTGTATTCCTCAAGACGTCCAGGTATTCTGCTCCTTTATGGTTCCAACATATTCCAAAGCTTTTAGCCTGCCACCACCTAACTCATCAACTGCTGTGCTGCCAAGGTTCGCATGCCGCATCTTGGCATCCGGTGAGAGGCTCACAGCAGAGATGCCCCAGTTCAAGCATCCTGCCTGCACGGAAGCTGACGAAGTGCCAAATTGAACACCGACGACGTCCACATACGTCCACTACACTTCGTCCAAACACAGGCCCAAAAAGGATCCGACAGGATTCAAAAGCTCAACTCTTCTGATATCTACTACTTTAGTTCGACGGCAACTTTGAGCAATGAACGCCTAAATATGCTTGACAGGTTGCGACGCAAATGTCGAAAACATCTTGAATTCTTTATAATATTTCTTTATCATCGTTTATAATGATGTCATCTGATGTCATCATTAATATCCCAACATTTTCCAACATCCATTTCTCGCCGGAACCATCTGCACCATTCTGCACCATGGCCTCATTGGAGCCCAGGATTTCATTGATGAAGTGGGCTTGATGCCCTCGATGGAAATCCGTGATGCCCAAATGAACAATGCCAGGCTTTACGGCCTGGACAGGTGGAAAAGTCATCTGGATTCATCATATTCATCTGCTGAGTTTTTGACATGTTTTAACATGTTTTAACCACCCTGAAAATCATGATAGGTATGACATGATATGACTGAAAAACATGAATGGGATACCAGTCATCTGTCATGAGATATGTGAGATGTTCAGACTCTTTGGACTTTTTCGGGCGTCATTCGGGCGTCATAGCGGGGCCGGTTTGATATGGTTTGATATTACCATGTGCATTCATGGTAGCACAAAAAATATAGAAATTCAACCTCCACTAAAATAGTGATATGTAAATAATTTGTCTATCATTTGGGAGTTGGCTACAAGCATCTATATATAAGCAATTATAAGCATAATATATAAGCTATCATTTAACAATTGGGGGGTCATTCCTCTCCCGTCCGACCAGTGAGAAGAAAGCATCTATGATTTGATGAGGTGTTTCTGACCTAGTTGCACCTGCAATCTAATTTACCATCTCAAATCAATATAAACAGAGACTGAGGGACTGAAGCTCACACATCCCACGTTTGTCGCGGCGCCTTGCGGTCATATCTAGGCCCCAGCACCGTACCACCCCATGGAGGGCAATGCCAATTCAACGTCTCCGGCGACAGGGACACTGCCATCAGCCAACCGGGACCGCTGGGACCGCTGGCAGGGCCGCTCAGGCCGCCCCAGCGGTCAGGGCTAGCAGCTTCAACGTCCAGAGATGACTTGGTAGATACTTGGAAGGACTTGGAAGGTTCACATGGGCTAGTGTCTTCTCATGTCTTGTGATGTCTTGTGATATTCTGTCATTGCAATGGAAAATAGTGGAAGCAATTCAAACATCAACTGCACGTGCTCAGGCTAATGGAGTGGCATCTTTCCAAGTCCAGACATTGTGGGATGAAATGAACCGGTTTGAGGGGCAGCTTGCCGGATTCTAACACTGACATAGCTCTACGGCCTTGCTAAGGTCTAAATTCTGCGACGTGAAGAGCAATGGAATCGCACAGATAGAGTCGCCCAACTTCCAAGCCATCCGTTTTTGTACGGTCCTCAACTCATGGCGGCAGCACTCTCTGGGCACAGTTGCTGGATCAAAGCCCTTATCCTGATGAATGGGATCGGCCAGCCGTGGCCATTGTGGCCATTGCCCATGCCATCATTTGCCAACACCTACTTGACCTCTATTCCCATTCCACTTTTGATAGAGGCACAGATGTTGAACCATGTTGAACCCAAAAAATGAAGCAACATGAGTAACCATACCATTGTACTACTACTTCAAATGTGTTTTTTCCAGCACTAACAGTCACTAACATCATGTAACATCTCAACAAATCTGTGGAAATCCAGCCCTCCAGGTCCGATCTATATAGGTCCTCCGGATCGGTGGAGCTTTGACCTGCGGGGCTGCCCTCTTCGTCGCTGTCCTGGATTCCGCAACTTCGCTTACATGACTCGTTAGAAGTTGATGGAGATGCCGTATAGTAATGTATAGTATATGATGATATATGATGCATATGGGGTAAAATGGATGTGAATGGATGTGAATGGATGCTCTCAATGAATATTTTCCGTGGATAGATGCTTTAGTGATGTGATTTGGACGTCTTTCCTTCCTCTTGAAGCGTGCCTGCGTGTTGACGGACGTCACATTCTTGTGTGATCCATTCACCGGTGCGACAGGGGAGACGCCTGGAGCGTTTCGGCACAGAAAGGGACACTGAAAGGGGTACGCAAAAGGTGCTGTAAATGGATTCCTTATTATCGAATGGTAACCAAAAAGAGTCATTACGACAACAATGGTAATAACAATAGAGGATAATACGATTTATACAGTATTGCATAGTAAATGTTAAGAAGAATAGTAGTAATAGGACTCGTAATGTTAATAGAAATAACTGAAATAACAGTTTTAAAAAAAATAGCTAAAAATAGTAGTACTGTATCCCTGGGTCGTGCAGGACGACAAAGAGCTCCCAGCAAGATTTCTCTGAGTTCTTTTTCTCTCATTGCTTTTCTTGCTGCGTTGTGTTTTGCAAAAGGGCATGAGAATATCATGAGATGCACAAGTCGCCAGCTGTATTTACAGCGACGCATGCGGCTTACAGAAATGGTGCCAAGGGCAGCGCCCTTCAACTCAGCTGCGACCACGTCCACGTCCACGGCCGCGCCCATCTCCCTTTCCTTTGCCCCCCTTGCCTTTGCTGCGTGATGCTGCGTGAGCATCTGAAACATCGGAGCTTTCTACACCCATCTACCTGTACCTACCTACCGCCCCCCAACTCACCCCCAAGACATCCAGAAACTCTCTCAAAAATAGAAGAAACCAACGAAAACCACAAATCTATACTAAGATAATCTTAGTAATGTTTGCACCTGATTAAAGAGATGGTACCCTATTGTGAGAAATTTCTTGCTCCTAATTCAGTCACATGCCAATTGTTGGGGGGGGGGCCTCTATTGTGAGAATTTTTTTCCAGATTTTTTTTAATATTTTTCCAAATGCTTTAATTAACTTTACTTTTCTTTTTAATTACTTTTCTATTTATGTTTATTTTTAATTAATTTCATTTTAGATGCCTTATCAAACCCTTATTTAAAAAAACAGCATCCAGACAATTTTTCAAAGGGGTACCTCATGAGTGGCTCAGTTACTCAATAATATAATTGTTTGGATGGTACTCTATTGTGAGCACCAACTTTTGGGATTGAAAAAAAAAACAAAACCCTTTCTCCACCTTTCTTTGGGTAAAGCTGGTGCCTTTACTTTAGAAAGCTATATTTGTGTAAAACTTTAAAATGCAAGGTTTTCCAAATAATTAGATACCTGAAAAAACCATAATTGGTTCAGTTACTCAATAATATAATTGTTTGGATGGTACTCTATTGTGAGCACCAACTTTTGGGAGTGATAAAAAAACATTTTCTTCACCTTTCTTTGGGTAAAGCTGATGCCTTTACTTTAGAAAGCCATATTTGTGTTAAAACTAAAATGCAAGGTTTTCCAAATAATTAGATGCCTTATTAAATCCTTATTAAAAAACAGCACCCAGACAATTTTTCAAGGGGATACCTCATGATTGGCTCAGTTACTCAATAATATAATTGTTTGGATGGTACTCTATTGTGAGCACCAACTTTTGGGAGTGATAAAAAAAAAAAAAAACCTTTCTCCACCTTTCTTTGAGTAAATCTGGTGCCTTTACTTTAGAAAGCCATATTTGTGTTAAAGCTTTAAAATGTAAGGTTTTCCAAATAATTAGATGCCTTATTAAACCCTTATTAAAAAACAGCACCCAAACAATTTTTCAAGGGGATACCTCATGATTGGCTCAGTTACTCAAGAATATAATTGTTTGGATGGTACTCTATTGTGAGCACCAACTTTTGGGAGTGAAAAAAAAAACAAAAGCCTTTCTCCACCTTTCTTTGGGTAAAGCTGGTGCCTTTACTTTAGAAAGCTATATTTGTGTTAAAGCTTTAAAATGCAAGGTTTTCCAAATAATTAGATGCCTTATTAAATCCTTATTAAAAAACAGCACTCAGACAATTTTTCAAGGGGGTACCTCATGAGTGGCTCAGTTACTCAATAATATAATTGTTTGGATGGTACTCTATTGTGAGCACCAACTTTTGGGAGTGAAAAAAAAATAAAAGTAAATTAAAAGTAAATTGAAATCAATTGAAAGTAAATTGAAAGTAAAGTAAAAGTAAATTGAAATCAATTGCAAGTAAATTGAAATCAATTGAAAGTAAATTAAAAGTAAATTGAAATCAATTGAAAGTAAATTGAAATCAATTGAAAGTAAATTAAAAGTAAATTGAAATCAATTGAAAGTAAATTGAAATCAATTGAAAGTAAATTAAAAGTAAATTGAAATCAATTGAAAGTAAATTGAAATCAATTGTAAATTAAAAGTAAATTGAAATCAATTGAAAGTAAATTGAAAGTAAATTAAAAGTAAATTAAAAGTAAATTGAAATCAATTGAAAGTAAATTGAAATCAATTGAAAGTAAATTAAAAGTAACTTGAAAGTAAATTGAAAGTAAATTGAAATCAATTGAAAGTAAATTAAAAGTAAATTGAAATCAATTGAAAGTAAATTAAATCAGAAAGTAAATTAAAAGTAAATTGAAATCAATTGAAAGTAAATTAATTAATTAAAAGTAAATTGAAATCAATTGAAAGTAAATGGAAATCAATTGAAAGTAAATTGAAATCCTTTCTTAATTTGATTGACCAAAAAAATGTTGAGGGGGGGCAAAAAAAAGTGCGAGTTATAGAGTATCCTCAAATTGTTTGGGGGGGGGGGCCCTCACACTAATCAGATGCAAACATTAAATCGAGTCCGAGATTCCTCCATCCTTTCCTTTTCCTTTCCCACCTTTTTCACCACCACGGCCTCCGCCTTTTCGCTTCTCCCAGAAACGTTGCTTCGTTTCCTTCAGCCGCTGCGAGGCCTCGTAGAGGTCTGTCTCCGGCTCCAGGAGCTCCGGCAACTCCTGCGCCACGACGATGGAGTTGCCCTTCCACAGCTCGGCCTGCGCGGAGTCCGCGGAGAGCAGTCCCACTAAAAGGGTCGTTTTTGAAAAGGGATGCATAAAATCTATAAATAGAATTATATAAAATATTATAAAATCAAATGGATATCTACAAAAATATATAAGCAAAGAACGAGTATGTGTGTGTGTACACCTCTCACCATCTATCATCATCTATCATCATCTATCATCATCTATCCTTCCATCCCATCCCACCCTATCCTACCCAAATGAAATTTGACCTTTGACGCAGCTGTCAATTTAAATCGTTTAGTTGCATGTTACACAAGGTCATACCACTGCATTGAACTTAATTCTTGATTGCATTTAGTTGCATCTTTGCGCATCTCCTTATATTTCAATGCATCCTGGGTAGCCACTCTGCAGCCTGCCCAGTGTTTGTTTCAACTCTGAATGACGTGCCTGCAAGATCTTCTTTACCATGTGATCTGGCGCATCGAAGATGCACTTGTGTTCATCCATGCACCGCTTGCATCCCCGACAGTGTTCCGTGACTTCCCGTGACAACATTTGGCGTAGCAAGTACCAACCCTTGGAGTCGCTTTCAATGGGGCGCTCTGATTCCAAGATCAAAGCTGTGTAGCCTTCATAGGCTGACAGCAACGAGCGGCCCTTGAGCTCTCTGAAGTGGCCAGTCAAGGCAGCCATGGATGCTGCCAAAGCCACTTCAGCACCACGTTCCTCAATCAGCTCCTTGGCTTTCACGGTAAAGGCCTCCACACTTTCCTGATGTACTGTGTCAATTTGACGTACTGCATCATCAGCCGCTGCTGCCACCACATCCTTGGCTTGAGGTGGACCAACACGCTGCATTTTGATGCCCTTCTTGTGCTCAATGAGCCGTAGGAGGTATTCTTCGGACCTGGAATAGAAGCAAACTGAGGTGCCCTTGCGCCCAGCACGGCCAGTACGGCCAGATCTGTGCACATACGCTTCCAAGTCTTGAGGAGGCCTTGTTTGAACCACCAGGTCAACTGCAGGGACATCAATGCCTCGTGCCGCCACATCAGTGGCGACCAAACATCGAATGCGGCCTGAGCGGAAGTTCTCCATGGTCTTGTCGCGAACGTGCTGGGGAACATCACCGTGAAGCACTCCAGCACCAATTGCTTTCAGCTTCTCATTGTTTCCCAGTTCATCACAGTCCTTCTTGGTGTTCACAAATACAATGGTCTTGCCAAAGGCACCTGCATGTATCTTGCAAAGGTCACCCAGGCAGTCCCCCCTGAGAGCCGGAGGGCAGGACACACATTGATGAGTGATCAAACTGTTGGTCTTATTGCCATCTGGATCTTGGGCCACATCAATCCAGGTGGGTTTCTTCAGGTACCTCTCCACAATGGCATTGACCCACTTCGGCAGCGTGGCCGAGAAGAGGAGTTTCTGACAGCCTTCGGTGGGCAACTCGTCCATGATGGCTTCGATATCCTCCTGAAAACCCATGGAGAGCATCTCGTCCGCCTCATCCAGGACCAAGGTTTTGCAGGCCGACAAATCCTTGGCAACTCACAGCGTCCTCAAAAATGTCCCAACAGTATGGTACTTCCCTGCAACTGCCATGTTCAGATCCAAAGTTTGCTAGTTCATGCTAAACTCAATGATCCTGCACCTGGCGAGAATGGCTCATGCATGAATGCAATATGATTGGATGTGTTTATAGTTTTGTTTTGGCATCACTTATGTCTGTGGCCAGACTTTCCCAGCCGAGAAACAGCACTCTGTCGTCGCACATGATCCAAAAGCCGCCCAGGGGTGCACACCAAAACGTGAACTCCATTTCGAAGATCTTCGCACTGAGGACCAAAGGGTGTGCCTGCAAAAGGTATTGCACAGAAAATGCATATCATTTGGCATTTATAGGGGCAAGCAGATTGCACGACAAGGCCAGCAATTTCCAAATCGTCTGTATCTGCTACCAGTCCCACCTCCATAGAAACACTTCACTGCCAAGCCCGATGCTTTGCCCAGCAGTTCAAAGTCGTTGAAGATCTGACGCGCAAGCTCCCTCGTGGGGGCAATCGTCACGCACAAAGGGGCCTGATGCTGCGCAAGGCTGGAGCGATTCAAGCAAGGATGGTGGCGCTACCTGCGAGGTGTCCTAAATGCATGATGGGACGTTAAATATGTTAAATCATCTTTAGTCAATGCATGTCAATGCTTAAGATGTTTCAAGATGGTGCAGTACGGGGCAGAACCAGCAGAACAATCTAGCTACCTTTTCTTCAGCAGTTACAGTAGTTTTTGCGCTCTCTGAATGATGTTTTGTCTCCGGTGAAAGTTTGACACAAGTGTTGTGCCGAAAGGTTTGTCTTGTTCTGAGTCATAGTCATGGGATGTCATGGGCCTGCCTTTTTGCGAGACTGTTTGATGAAGTTTTTTGCAGTCATGCGCTCCACCACTGGCAACACGAACGCGAGAGTTTTTCCACAGCCAGTCCTGAGCAATTTCGCAAAACGTCTCTGCAGCGATAAACCAACACCTCACATCTGGCTTGTGTATAGAATGGAAAAGGTTCAATCAATCTGAAGCACACTGCAAGTTAGAATGTGACCCCCAAGGGGTTTGCCATAGTGTCTTGTGTATGCCAGGGCCTGGCCAAACAAGACCTGAAAAGTTGGCATTCTAGTTGGCTTTCTCCAGCGTGTGCATCTCACATGTCAGCTGGTGACCCTTAAGACCAGCGCGTCACTTCACAATAGGCAATTTTTGAGTCATTGTCAATGGAGGGGAGGGGACAAGGTTCTTGAATTGGGGTGGTGTTCCGTTTCTACTATGAATGCACCAACATGTATTGGAGACTTTCAACCCAACACACTGCACGCGCTCAATTCAAGCACCAAGCGGCTTGGCACGTCCCACCACATCGAGGCCAGTGAAGCAAGGCTCAAAAGCCTTTTGCTGGATCTCAAACAGCCTCAGAGACAGAATGCCAACGAATACCACAGGTCTCCATTCCACCAAGCTCATCAAATAGCAAAAAATGATAAGTGTCACAGTGACAAATTGTGTCAATACACCCCACTTGCCAGCGGCCTTCAGGAACCTGGCTCTGATCAAGTGTCAAATTAAATGATCTTCATCCCTCTTCGTCCGTGCTTCATCCTTTTTCATCAATTGTTCCCTATATCTCTGGTGATCTTTGGCAGTAAGCAAATTTCGTATGGCTAGAACGAAGGGTAACATGATGTTTCCCCCCTGCAACTTCAGTGAGTCTGCAAGCGGAACACCAAAACCTTCCAAACCCTGTCGAAACTTTGTGATTCTGTCTGCTCCTGAAACCCTAGGATGGAACCTGGAACCTTGAAAGGCCACCAAGAGCACTCAGAAAATTTTGGAACCAGCCGGAGTGATCCGAAACCATAGCAACCAAGCCCAAGCATTGAACCTACTTTGGCTAAGACTCAACGCGCGCACTGTTGGGGAAAAGCACGGAATCCACGGGTTCCATTGTCCATTGGCAAACACGATCATAATGTGTAATTCTGTAATTACAGTAGTATATACATAGACAAGGATAGATAATGGCCTACAGTACTGGGTTCGCTTTGCCTGAATGGTTCCGTCATGTTCCATCCAATAACCCTCGGTTCTAGAATCGTGCCGCCAGGAAACGTGGTGATGTTCTTGCTGAGCAAAGCCTTCTGGCTGGCATCCGATATTTCTTTGATATCAGAGACGTTGCAAACACCAAGGCTACCGTCCTTTTTCTCAGTGCCTTCTTGGTCCGTAGTTTTCTTCTCCTTTTTGGGTTTTGCACCTTCCGTCTCCTCTGCTTTCCGCTTTTTGGTCTTGGTCTTGGGATCCTTTGGAGCCAATTTGGGCGAGGCCTTGGGTGACAGTTTGGGGGATGCCTTTGGAGCCAACTTTGGCGAAGCCTTCGGCTTGGTGTCTTTGGTCTCGGTTTTCTTTCCCTTCTTTCCCTCCTTTTCCTTCACCATGGCCGATGGGCTTGGAAAACACTGGGCCTACCCAAACACTGAGCGAAACTCGATCATGAAATCACGGGCATGTGTGCTGCCATGGTGATGGTATTCTGAGGTATTCTATCAGATTTGGAATGAGTGGTGTGATGTGGAGTGGCTAGAGTTTGAAATGCAGACAATTTCATAAAAATCCCCCACAAAATGATGGTGCTGGAGGTGTTTGGATGTGCTTGGGCCAGCGCATGCACAGTCTCCCCAGTCACCACTGACATGGCGTCCGTTCTTCTTTACAAACACGACGAAACCTCAATGCCAAGCCATGATCAGCAATATCTCAGTATATATCATAATATATCGCAATATTGAGACATCACAACATGCTGTGCAGCACAGTTTCTTTGCATGCCGTTGTTTGTTTGACGCACATAATTGAATCCTCAGCATCACAGCCTTGAGAATGCAAATTAGCTGTAAGTTGTCTCGACCCGTTGAGGAAGTTGTTGTGAGATGCCTGCCCAATCACGAAATGCCATCACGGAGCACTGGATGAGATCAATGGATTAGAATTTAGTTTAATTCATTAATTACAGTTGTGCTATATAATATGTCTTTTCAAAATTCAATAAAATTCACACAAACAAATGCGAATTCGTAGTGAAAATCCCCATCTGAGGCCCCTGCCGCCATGACGCGAGCACTCGGCGCCGAGTTTGGAGATGCCATGTTTTTCACAGCGGGAAAATCCCAAGTGGCTATGGACCATGGATTGCAATGGGGGCTGCAACACGCCCATAAATGTGGCGGCACATGTTGAACCATTCCCGTCCAAATAGGCATGGAAGAAAAACTGGGCCAAAGATCCATCCATGTTGGTGTAAGTGTATCATTTCTTATACTTGGGTGCCAAAATTCTGGGATAAGCCGGATGTATGAGTATGGCCAAGTGCTGTTAGCAGTTAGCAGTTGCTCAAAAAACATAACTCTCGAACAAACACCTAGGTCGCGCGAACTCTTGTCATGTTTTAGGTTCACAATGTCGTGCAGGCGCTCGGTGTCTCATGCTGGCTGCTGCACATAGCCGCAATCGCCATGATGCGCAACCGAATGTATCACGACATTGTCTTGTTTGAACCACAATGCTGTCATCGAACGATTTTCTTTTAAAAATTTAAGTTGCGGCAGAACCTGTACATACATGACACAAATAAAAACACGGTAAACGGACAAACCTCTGCCATTTGCGAATCTCACAAACTCAGGCGACAAATTCCCCCAGGATTCGGCATCCAACCTTCCAATCTTCCAACTTCCAACGGCAGAACTGTTCAAGCATTGCGTCCTATGTGGTGGGCCGCCCAATGCGTTTTGAAGAACTCGTTTCCCAATACAATACGGGTGCGGATTTTTTTGGGATTTTTTTTTCTTGTTTTGGGATTTTTTTTTTTGGTCGTGGGCACGGTTTCCTCACTTTTTCCTTGTTTTCCATTACTTTTCCTTCGTTTTTCATTGGTTTTCCTTCATTATTCCTCACTTTTTCCTCGTTTTCCAGTATTTTTCTTTGGTTTTTCATAATTTTCCTCACTTTTTCATCGTTTTCCATTACTTTTCCTTGGTTTTTCATAATGTTCCTCACTTTTTCCTTGTTTTCCATTATTTTTCCTTAGTTTTTCATTGGTTTTCCGTCACTTCCCTCACTTTTTCCTCGTTTTCCATTACTTTTCCTTGGTTTTTCATTCGTTTTCCTTCACTTCCTTCACGTTTTCCTCGTTTTCCATTACTTTTCCTTGGTTTTTCATCATTTTCCTCACATTTTCCTTCCTTCCTGCCTCAATAAGAAAACAGGAAGGGGGTATTGGGGAGATTGTCAATGGATGTTTCTATGTTTTTCTTCAATTTTTGTATGGTGTTCATTCATTTTTTACTGGTTTTCATTCATTGTTCCAAAGTTTTCATTGATTGTTTTTTTTCCGAAGTGTGCATTGATTTTTGGAGATACATGATGTGCAAACTATAAACTGTAGATGTATAGAGGTATACATGCATGACTAATCATGACTATATGCATATGTAGATCAATGTATTTACAAGTGTAATCTATATATCTGCAGGGTTTGGTTTTGGGTTTATTTAGGGTTGGTTTACGGTTTATTCTAGATTTGTTTAAGGTCTATTTAGGGTTGGTTTTAAGGTTTCTTTAGTGCTCGTTTAGGGTCTGTTTAGGGTTTGTTTAGGGTTGGATTAGGGGTTATTTAGGGATACAACATGTACATATAAATAACTATACTTATGTGGACGCATATGCATGCACATGATTATTTGCAGTTTATTTTGGGATGAAAGCTGTGTATATAAACAGCCATATGTATATTTATATATATATACAATGTATATACAATATGTATATATATATATAACCAAACTAGTGTATTGAAATGTGTGCAAGTTTGAATTTAAATTTAAATTTAAAAAAACGGGAGGGGGGGTTCAACGTATTGCTTTGTTGTAGGGGAAGGAAAAGACATTTCAAACATGACTCAGGATGCCAAGTTGGTTCATATGTCGAACAAAGTGTTTTGTAGGGGTCCGGAAGATAAATCTATAGCAATGACTCAACATGTCAACTTTCTTCATATGTTGAATCAACCGTACGGTCTTGAAGGTTCGAGGGGGGGGTAAATTTTCAAAATGACACCATGTGGTAACTTTCTGCATACAATGAACGTATTGTTTTGTAGGGTCGAGGGGGGTAAATTTGCAACAACGACTCCACATGTCAACTTTCTTCCAACGTTGAAAATATTGCTTTGTAGGGCCGAAAAAGGGGAATAAATTGAAAAATTGGTAAACTGAGAAATGACTCAAGCTGAGAATTGCCCCCATGTGTTCAAGATATTGTTTTTGTGGGGGAGGGCGGATGACAAAAGATGACTTAACGTTTCAATTTTGTTTTTATTTTATCTATTTTCAAGGTTCTGACTTGCATGGGAAAGGAGATGTTAAACACGTCTCAAGATGCCAAACGGGTCTGTTTGTTGAACGACTTTGAACGTATATTTTTGTAGCGCACACGGGAGTGGATCTTTAACAATGATTCAACGTGCCAAGTTTGTTCATATGTTGAAGGAGGTGCTAGCTAGGTAGGGTCGAGGAGATGTAAATTTTAAAAATGGTTCCGCATGGCAACTTTCTTCATACCTTAAACCATGTGTCTGGCAGGGTCGAAGGGACGGAAATTCCAAGCATCACTCGACATGCGAAATCTCTCCATATGTTCAACGTGTTGCTTTGTAGGGTCGATGGGCTGTAAATTTCAGAAATGACTCAAGATTCCTTTTTTCCATGTGTTCAACGTACAAGTATGGTGTTGTTGTTGTAGGGGAAGGCAAGGAACATTTTGACATAAGCCAAGATGCCATGCTGATTCGTACGTTAAACATAATGTTTTGTAGGGGACAGGGCAGGTAAATCCAAAAGAATGAATCAACATGTCAACTTGATCCACATGTTGAATGTATTGATTTGTAGGGCCAAGGTGTTGGTAAAATTCCAAAATGTTCAACTATGTGTTTTGTAAGGTCGAGAAGGGAAACTTTGAAAACTGACGCGACATGTAAGTTTTCTCGGTATGCTAAACGTCTTATTTTGTAGGGTCGAGGGGTTGTAAATTACAAAAATGACTCAAGATGCAATTTTTCTTCATTTGTTCAATGTACGAATTGGAAAGGGAGGGGGGGGGAATGTTTCAAGACAAATGTTCATCCGTATATTCAACGTATTGTTTTTTGAGGAATAAAGAATACATTTTGAACATGACTCAGGATGCCACGTTGGTTCATATGTTGAACGTAGTGCTTTCGAGAGGACAGTGACGAAATCTACAAAATGACTCAGTGTGCCAATTTTCTTCACATGTTTAACGTGCTGCTGTGTAGGGTCGGGGGGTCGTAACTTTCAAAAATGACTCAAGATGAATTGTTTTAATTTGTTCGACATATTGTTTTGTTGTAGGGGAAGGAAATGACATTTGAATCATGACTTGAGATGCCAAGTTAGCTCTAATGTTAAACGGACGTAGTTTTTTGTAGGGGACAGGCGGGCAAGTTTGTAGCAATGACTCGACTCAACATGTCAACTTCATGGTAAGGTCAGGGGGGGGATAAATTTCAAAATTTGTTCAAGATCGCAATTTGTTTCATCTGTTCAACATTCATATTGTTTTGTGGTCGGGGGAGGCATAAAAAAATTGAGTTGACTTAACCCTTCATCTGTGTTCATGGTCAACGTGTTGCTTTGCAAGGGGGAAAAACTATTTTAAAATTAATTCAAGATGCTACGTTGGTTCATATGTTCAACTGTGTTACACGTAGTGTTTTGATGAGGTAAACCTGGTAGGGTCAACGGGTGGTAAATCACAAAATTGACTCAAAATGCAAATTTTCTTCGTCTGTTCAGCATATTAGTTTTGTAGGGTAGGGTAGGGGGGCTGAAATATGTGAAAATAAATCAACACTTTTGACTTTGTTCATAAATTCAACATGTTATTTTGTGAGGAAGGAAAGGACATGTTCAACATGATTCAAGATGCCCAGTTCGTTTACATGTTGAACGTATTGCCTTGTAGGGGATGCGTTTGAAAATCTATAAAACGCTGACTAAATGTGTCAACTGTTCATGTAATATATGTTGAACCTATTGCTTTGCAGGGCTGATGGAAGGTAAAATTCTTTAAAATTATTCCCACTCTTACGCGCTATATGTTCTGACATAGTTTACGACATACCATCTGGAAGTATTTATGGCAAATATATTCTGAAATTCTATCTGACATTTTTTCTGGCATTGTATCTGGCGTATATTCTGCCGTTCTGTTTGTTCGGGCCCAGGCGCGCTCCACAGCCTCCTGAGCGCGCGATATGGCTGTCGGGCCCAGGCATCCTGATCTTGCGGCATCGCATTCAGGCCGAGCCGCACTCCACAGCACCCACAGCCGGCGAGGAAGAAGAGAAGGAGAGAAGGAGAGGAAGGAGAGGAAGGAGAGGAAGGAGAGGAAGGAGAGGAAGAAGGGGAAGAAGAGGAAGGAGTCGCACCTTTGTTAAAATCTAGAAACCTTCACCTTGCAGGTGGGGAAAAAGAACTCAAGATAGAAGTTTTGTTCTTCTCTCCAATGTTTGTTTTGTAGGGTTTGGGGCTGCAAAAAATTGACATAATGCGTTCAAATGCGTTCAATATTCAAGGTAATCATATGCAGGAGGGGAAAAAGAATTTTTTTAACATGACTCAAGATGTCAAGTTGGTTTAATATGTTGAATGTATTGCCTTGTTTTTTTTTTGCTCGCACCTTTTTGCTGCACGAGTTCATGGTCCCCCAAACTCTTTGTGGTTGGCTGACTGTTTTTATACTGGCCAGTCTCCAGATGTGCTCAGTCCACCAAAGGAGGAAATCCAAAGTCCAGAAAGGGCCAAACCGGTGTGGTCACCTGCCCGGGAGTCGGCTTGGGGTGGCAGTGCCGACGGGCGTTTGGGCGAGCAGGTGCCCGAGGGGTGGGAGCGCCCCATCCCCATTATTGCAGTTGGTGTCCCGGGTGTTGAGGAGGGAAGCCGCGAAGGCATGCATGCTGGCATGTGTGAGTAGGGCCGACCATCGAGCTATGAGTGTTGTGATGGTGGCTTGTCTCAGTGGGGCGGGGGTTGCTCTTGCTCTTGCTTGAGCAAGTAGGCGGAGGAATTGTGTTGCCTCCGTGCTCCAGCGTCCACCCACCTCTATTGCTAATACCACCAAGCGGCATCTGCCTGCTCCAACCAACTCGGGGTATGTCCGTTCTTTGTTGCGCCGTGCTGTGTGGAGGGCTGCGCCGGCATATTGGCCCCCTCGCCGACGTGGTTGTGCATCGCTTGTGAGTGGCGAAACAAGGGTAGTGTCGACTGCGAGTTGGGCACCGTGCCACATAGGGAGTCCATTTGCGATGACCTCGATGGTGCGGTCATCGAAGCGTTGCACAGCAGGGATGTTGAGGTTGCTGAGTCTTGTGTGCATGGTGACACGTGCACCGGCTTCCTGGCACACCCTCGCAGCTGCCTGTTCCAGTGGTACCCCTCTGCTTCGCAGCACCCCCGCCCGGGCACAGGCCGCTCGGTGGTCGCCAAGTGGGTCAAGATTGCGACGGCACCGACAAGCTCGTTCGGTAAGGGGTAATGGAAGCCGAAGGCGGCGGAGCAGTAGAATGCGAAAAATGTGGTCAGGATACGTCGTGTCTGTGGTATATGGAATTGTGGTGAAAGCCCTGCTGGCAAAAGGTCCCGTTACACAACGGCATCCGAATATGTTTGGCATGACGCAAACGGCAACCAGCACACCATTACACAAGCAAAGGGGGGTGAACAAGGGGACCCCCTCATGCCGGCCCTGTTCTCCTTGGGCCAAGAGCCAGCCCTACAAGCCGTCCAAGCACAGCTCCAACCCGGCGAAGTCATCTACGCCTTTTTGGGTGACATTTATGCAGTGGTGCAGCCAGAGCGCGTCCGGGCCGTCTACGACCTGTTAGCACGCCACCTTGAGGCACATGCCCGTATCCGCTTGAACCAGGGCAAAACAAGAATTTGGAACCGTGGCGGACATGCACCACCCAACATCCACACTCTAGGGCCAGACACTTGGGTAGGCAACCGGGAGTTCCCCCCCGAACAACAAGGCATCACAGTCTTGGGGGCACCCATTGGTACCGATGCCTATGCGCAGCACTTCTTGCAAAACACCTCAACCAGCCACAGGCCTCTCCTTGAACAGTTGCCACACCTCCAAGACCTCCAAGCAGCATGGCTGTTGCTCCTCTACACTGCCAGCCCCCGCAGCAACTATTTGCTCCGGCTGCTACCGCCGGCGCAAACAGCCAGCCACCTTTGCAGAACAACACGACCTTGACATCAGCCGCTGCCTCACGCAGCTTCTGCAAACAGACTCACTGCCAGTAGACGCCTTGGCAAGAGCACACCTCCCCCTGGCCATGGGAGGCTTGGGTCTCATGAGTGCTTCCCAACTGTCCACCCCCGCCCACTGGGCATCATGGGCTGATGCCATGCCAGTCTTGCAAAGTGTAGCAGCGACCATCCTCCAGGCACTGAACAACCTGGACGAAGCACAGCCTTGCATACAAGCAGCACAAGCCGCTCACCAACACATCCACGCACACGGGTGGGAACCCCCAAGTTGGCAACAAGTGCTCGAACAACAGCCGCCCCAAACCCAAGCAGAAGCTTTCACAGGGCCAACCCAACCAAGCTGGCAACACCACGCGTCAGCCCCTTTCCACAGAACAGCCAGGGCAGGGGTATACAACAGCATCGATGCAGCCAGCCAAGCACAAAGGGGAGGCACCTATTGGCTTCTGGTGTGTGGAAGAGGCCGCTCAACATACTATTTCGTGAGATTGTATCGTAGGCACCCACACCATCAATGGATAGGATTGTGTTGCTGTTGCTGCTTTGTGTTGTCGCCGTCAGTGCATGTACGACCGCCCCTGTGCCAGCACGCGTGGACAGTGCGAATTGGTGGGGGGCACAGGCTACGTGGAACTGGGTGGCAAAAACTTGGGCGATGCAACGTGCGATGACTCGCCGTAAAACATCCCCGATGACGAGCCCCCGAATGCCTCCATTAGGTTTGGTGAGTGCAACCATTCGTCCCAACCCAATGGCTTGTGCTATGTTCAGTGGGACCCGTGCTTGTGCTAAATGTTGGCATACTTCGACGAAGAGGGCTGTGGTGGTTTCATCATCCAAAACAAGCCGCAGTGTGTCCGCTGTGAGGCCAGATGGGCCGGGGGCGGCACCCTTTCTGGAGCGTCGCAGAGCTGTGAGCAATTTGTGGGCGGGGAGCTGTAAGGGCTGTTCAGGCACAAATTGGTCAATGTTGGCTTGCAAGGGTGTGTACGGCTCTGTTGGTCTGCGCGTTGGGTCTCGTAGTTGTGCCAACGTGGCCGCAGTGCCTGGTGCCAAGGGGCTGGCTGTGAGTGCCTGCCGGGCCGCAGGATCGAGGGGCGTGTAAAATTTAGAAATGATTTGAGATGACAATTTTGTTGGTTCAACATATTGTTTTGTAGCGTCGGAAGCGCAAAAAAACTTGATGACTCGGGCTCGACATGTCAATTTACTCCATTTGATCATATTTGTTCAATACATTGAAAAGTTGAGGGTGGTATATTTCAAAAATGACTCAAGATGCCAAGTTGGGTCATATGTTGAACGTAGTGGTTTGTACAGGGCAGGGGGAAGGGGAAAAAATCATAACATTGACTCAAAATGCCAACTATAGTGTAGGAAAATGCCAACTATAGTGTAGGGTCACGCAATTGTAAATTTCGAAACTGACTCCGGAAACCCGTTCTTTGGTTTGTTCGAGGTATTGTTTTTCAGGGGAAGGAAACGAGTTCAAAATATAAAGATTACGTGACATTTCTACTTTGCTCATATATTCAACGTATTGGTTTGCAAAGGTAGGGATAGGACATGTTAAACATGGCTCGAAGTGGTTTGTTCATGCTGAACGATGTTGAACGTAGTGTTTTGTAGGGGCCAGAATGTAGATATTGCTTGGTTGGGTCCAGGGGTGATAAATTTCAAAAAAGGACTCCACATGTCATTTTTTTTCATACGTTGAACGTATTGCATTGTGGAGTCGACGAGTTGCAAATTTCAATCATGACTCAAGATGCAAATTTTCTTCATCTGTTCAACGTATTGATCAACGTATTATCTTGTTCTAGGGAAGGAAAAGTCAATTCAAACATGACTCAAGATGCCAAGTTGGTTCATTAGTTGAACATGGTGTTTTGATGTGTTTTGTGTGGAGCGGGGATTAAATCTATAAGAACGATTATCAGAATGACGACAGGTCAATGTGTTTCATATGTTGAACGTGTTGTGTTGTAGGGTCGAGGGAGGTAAATAACACATAGCTCAAGATAAATCAATATGACAATTGTGGGGTTGGTCGGACACAGCCGGGATAAAACAACACAATGAAATCTGGAGTTAATTTCTAACTCCTGTTCGGAACCCTGCGGCGTCTTCGGCGTCTTCGGCGTCTTCGGGCGTCTTCGAGGTCTTCGGGGTCTTCGGGCGTCTTCGGCGTCTTCGGGCGTCTTCGGGGCCTTCGGGGTCTTCAGCGTCTTCGGCGTCTTCGGGGTCTTCAGCGTCTTCGGCGTCTTCGGCGTCTTCGGGGTCTTCGGCGTCTTCGGAGTCTTCGGGCTCTTCGGGGTCTTCGGGCTCTTCGGGGTCTTCGGGGTCTTCGACGTCTTCGACGTCTTCGGGGTCTTCGGCGTCTTCGAGGTCTTCGGGGTCTTCGGGGTCTTCGGAGTCTTCGGGGTCTGCGGCCCGAATTTGGGGCACCTCTGCTGCCATCAATCTGCATTTTTTTCCGATGGCAACTTGTAGTTTGCTCATTCGCTCTTGGTCGAAGGAACCCTGCTCCTACTATTTTGTAGCCCCTAAAAAGTTGTCACTTATAAGAAAAGCAGCAAAAAGTAGTGCATATTGTGACCATGATGCATCCTTCCTCCCAAAAATGTACATGGATCAATCTCCACGCAATCTCACGGGTCAATCTCCCAGGCGCATTTTTGAGCGGTGGAACACCTTTTGGTCTCAACCCCCTCCAGGCACCAATTCGAGTAGGAAAAAAAACGACAGACAACAAAAGAACCCTAAGAAAAAGAAAAGCACTTCACGGATGAAAACTATATCAAATTATGTACCTGCCCTAAGAACAATGCAGCAAGATAAAACGGTTGCAAACCAAAACCCTCCGAAAACAAACCAACATATCCAACATGAAGAAAACTGCTACAAAGTGGATGGGTACAAGTCGAATCACTGCAGAAAGCATTGCAGCAGAATTCATTCTGTGTCCAAATTTGTGTTGACAACAGCGGTTGATAAATGTACACGTCAGTAAACAAATACCAGCCGAAGGCAGGAAAGTACTTGTTGAAAAAAGGCGGCAAAATGAAAGCGATATCAAATTATGTACTTGCACTTGCTCTAAGAACACTGCACCAAGATAAAACGGCTGCAAAATCTCCCAGAACAAACCAACATGAAGAAAACTGCTACAAAGTGGATGGGTACAAATCGGATCACTACAGAAAGCATTGCGGCAGAATCCATTCTGTGTCCAAATTTGTGCTGAGACCAGCGGTTGGTAAATGTACACATCAGTAAACAAGTACCGCAAAAACGAGCCCAAGGCAGGAAAGTACTTGTTGAATAAAATCAAAATGAAAGCTGTATCAAACTGGGTATGTCTCAAAATACCGTGTCCAACCCGGGAAGTTTGACTAGGGGGTATGATTCGTGGGTATGATTCGGGGTATGATTCGTGGGTATGATTCGCGGACCTTGATTTAGTGTTTCCCTGGATCCTCCGCGTATAGTTATGTACCCACACTTACCCCGAAAATGTTTCAACTGTTGGCAAGTGTACCATACGTGGAGCGCTTTGGAGCTGGCAGGCTGTTGACGCTGCGCGTGCTGCTGTCAGAGTGGTGTGTGCGCTTTGGAGCGGGCATCGTGGTGCCATTGGAATGCCGCTGCAAGGTGCTGGTGGCAGGGTGTTGCTTGCTGTCAAAATGGTGTGTACAGTTTGGAGCGATGCTGGTGGCGCTCAGGGTGCTGCTGCAGGTGCTGCCTGAGGGTGATGATGGAAGGTGCTGCTGTCAGAGTGGTGTGTGCTGTAAACCCTGTTTTGGAGCGGGCATGCTGGTGAGCGGATGCGGGTGGAAGGTGCTGCTTGAGTGTGCTGTCGAGCTAGCCTGCTGGTGCTGCTGCAAGGGGTGATGCTTCAGGGTGCTGCAAGGAGGGTACGTACTGTACCCAACTCGTGCTGCAAGGGTGCTAGTGAAGGGTGCTGCTGCACGCTGCAGGGTGCTGTTTTAAGATTTTTTCCAGAAGCAGCACGAGGCCGCCGGCCTGCCGGCGTCTTTTCTGGATTTCTTCTCATGTACCTTTAGCTCAGCTACGCTTAGGCTTATGTTCCTCTTCGACGGAGTTTTGGTTTGCCTGCCTGCCTGCCTGCCTGCCTGCCTGCCTGCCTGCCTGCCTGCCTGCCGCCTGCCTGCCTGCCTGCCATGCCTGCCTGCTGCCTGCCTGCCTGCCTGCCTGCCTGCCTGCCTGCCTGCCTGCCTGCCTGCCTGCCTGCCTGCCTGCCTGCCTGCTCCCTAAAAACCCTCTAGACCCTATGGTTTTATAGTCCCTTGTGATGTTGTGCGGAAGCAAATCGTAGCAGTCGAGTTTTGTAAGGCAGTGAAGTGAGATCAAAAAAAACGTCGAAATAGCAGTTTGTAGTAAGGATTTTTGATCGATTTTTGACGAGTAATTTTTTTACTGAAAAAATCGAATAGCAACTTGTAGTGGCTTTCATGGTTATATCACATGAAGCAACATGAAACTTCGTATGTTTTCATGACCAATTTGTAGTGAACCCGTTATTTCACTCGGAATTGAACAAAGTCAATGCAGCGCACCGGGGTGGATATTGTCCTACAAAAAGGTTCAGCACCTGCAGCGTACAATCGGGAAATTTACTCAGTAACTTGAAGCAGTTATCAGCGTTGGTTGTCAACAAAAACTTGCGCACAGATTGGATGATTCTGCTGCAATGCTTTCTGTAGTGATCCGACTTGTACCCATCCAGTTTGTAGCAGTTGTTTTCATGTTGGTTTGTTTTGGGAGGGTTAGGGTTTGCAGCCGTTACAGCTTTCATTTTGCTGCCTTCTTTTAACAAGTACTTTCCTGCCTTGGGCTGGCTCTTGCTGTATTTGTTTACTGGTGTGTTCATTTACCAACCGCTGTTGTCAACACAAATTTGGACACAGAATGGATTCTGCTGCAATGTTTTCTGTAGTGATCCGACTTGTACCCATCCACTTTGTAACATTTTTTTTCATACTAGTTTGTTTTGGGAGGGTTTGCAACCGTTTTATCTTGCTGCGGTGTTTTTAGAGCAACTCACGGCGACTCCCTCGGCGGCCACGCGCCGGACCTGCCGGACCTCCTCGCTGACACCCGGTACGAGGTCCCGGCGGCACCCTCCCGGCTACCCGCCTCCTAAAACGGGGGGCAGGCCCCGCCCTAACACAGGGTGCATCCCCTGAGCGCAGAAGCACAGGCAGAAAAAGGCGCGGAAAAAAAAATAAAAAAAAATATATATAATTGGCTGTGTTTTTTTTTAACGCGTGCAGTTTTTAGTAAAGGCAGGAAGTTCGATTTGTGCGAATCATACCCCCGAATCATACCCCAAATCATACCCCTGAATCATACCCCCGAATCATATCCTAAAAAATCACGATTATGAATGTTTCTTTTGGGAGCGTTTGGGATTTGCATTGGCCTCACTAGTTATAATGGACCTGACAAACTAATTGACCAGTCTTGGCCAGACCCGATGATTCCTGGCTACCTTCACTGGGGGATGACTCTGGCTGCGGCTGGCTGCGTGTCTGGCATTGGACGGCCGCACCGCCGCGTCCGGCCGCGCCTTCGCTGCCCTGGCCTCCCTTCCCGCCCGGGGCCAGGGCGAGACCTCACGCTTGGTCATGTGCTACTGTCTTGCCAGCCAGCCAGCCAGCCGCAGCCAGAGTCATCCCCCAGTGAAGGTAGCCAGGAATCATCGGGTCTGGCCAAGACTGGTCAATTAGTTTGTCAGGTCCATTATAACTAGTGAGGCCAATGCAAATCCCAAACGCTCCCAAAAGAAACATTCATAATCGTGATTTTTTAGGATATGATTCGGGGGTATGATTCAGGGGTATGATTTGGGGTATGATTCGGGGGTATGATTCGCACAAATCGAACTTCCTGCCTTTACTAAAAACTGCACGCGTTAAAAAAAAACACAGCCAATTATATATATTTTTTTTTATTTTTTTTTCCGCGCCTTTTTCTGCCTGTGCTTCTGCGCTCAGGGGATGCACCCTGTGTTAGGGCGGGGCCTGCCCCCCGTTTTAGGAGGCGGGTAGCCGGGAGGGTGCCGCCGGGACCTCGTACCGG